CACATTTATATCTTCCTGAGAAGCAGATGGCTACTCCTAAAGTGTTAGCTATTCAAAACTGTTTCTATTTTTACCCCTCTATATTGACTAAGATGACATTTTAGTGGAAATAGCATCCATACATACAAACGTATCTTTGTTTCTTAAAAGACAACTATTCGAATCAGTGTGTGTGTGTGTGTGTGTGTGTGTGTGTGTGTGTGTGTGTGTATGATTAAATTTCTCTGAATAATGAAGCAGCATAACATGGCTGTAAGGATCAATTCATAAAATAAAATGAATCAGTAAACACAAAGGCTATAGATCCTTATGTGAGTATAAAGATTATATACCCTATATGACTAAAAAAATATATAAGGAAAGATGGCTTATCAGCATTTTTTTCTTCTCTACCAATGGATGCCAATAGTTTGATGCCTTGTGCAGCACTAAAAACTGAGTCTCTTAATTTATTTATGAACATTTGGAGAATTCTGTTTTCTCCTTCTTTCTACCCAACTCCTAATTTATCTAATATGACTTTAAATTCATCTTGGTTGCAGTTCCTGCCTTCTCATTCATACCCTTATCGTTGCACTTCGCCTTTACTGAGTACATACCATCAGTGCGAAAGCAGTGGGAGGTCATTTAGAGAGGGCCACTGTGTACTCAGGGAGCTTTTAGTGAGAAAGAAGGCTTATGAATCAATAATTACAATACAGTGTGATGGGTACGATAAGGAAGTCATCATAAGGAAGTACAATATCATAGGAAGACCACTCATCAGTCCCGTGTGAGACCCAATGTTGATGACATCTTCATATTGTTTGCTAAATTGCTTTTTTCACAGAAAAATCTACTTTATCTTTGACTAAAGATTCATGACACCTGTCCAGTGATGTTATCTGTCTTATGAGAAGTACTTCTAACTTGATCAAAACCGTAAGAAGCAAGTCCTAACTGAAACAAGAAAATGATTTTCCGCTACTCTCAGTAGGGCAGTGCTTGTGAACAAAATGTTTGTGAATTATTTCCTCTTTCTTTGTACTGTACAAATGGCAAATTGGTTTGTAATTATTTTTTATTTTCCACCCATCATTCAGGTAAAGTTTATTTCTGATAAATTCAATAATGTGGCCAGAATTTAAACTGAGCACTAATTATTATTTCAAGTCAACTTAGTTGTGTGCATGTGTTCTGTGCATGTTCATGGGTACACGTGTGTATGTGATGGCCAGAGGATGGGATTAATGACCTTTGATGTCCTACCTTCTTAGCTGATACCTACATTCTTTTTTTTTTCCTTTTATTTATTTTATGTTTTTAAGGTGGGACCTCTTAGTAGATAAAAAATTCCTGATTTTGAAAAAAAAATCCCTAATGAGGGTTGGATTACCCGACCAACAAGTCTTAGGGACCCACATATCTAATGTTCTCAGCAATAGTATTATAAAAGCCACCACATGCAACTTTCTTACATGGGTTTTGGAAGACAAACTCAAGTCCAATTCATTAGCTTCCTAAAAAAGTCTTTATCTATTTCTTTCGCAAAATGTTTGTTCTAGAACTTTGCTGTGTTAAATGTAGACATGGATCCTGTTACAGGTGTCACAGAAGCCATATTTTCATTTCCAATTTAACTCTCTACACATTTAAAATTAGATTAAAATAATATTTAGTTAATATTTGTATAGGCAGCATGACATATATGATGATCTGACTAATTATTAAACTGAAACTGAGGAGGAAGCATGGTTGGGTCTACTCACTGGGCAGCATTTTCATTGACCTACTATTTAAATTTAAATCCAGCAGTATTATCATTTTGTAGAAAATGAAATTCTTAGATTAGTAATTAGTGAACAGATGAATTAAGTTAATTTTAAATGGAATTCTACTTCATGTTTCAATCTATTAAGAACATTTGGAGCAAAGTAAACTTAGAATAGTCATTTAAACACAGACAAAGCCTTGCATTAGCTATACAAAGCCAATTTAATTGATTTTTCTTTTCATTATTGTTGTAGAACTGTAGAGACACGTGTCATTGTTACCATGGCATCTTATGTCAACTTCACATTCATGAACAACAAAGCTATACATAACGTTGGGGATGTTTTGCGATTTATTTTGGCCATGTAAATATTTCAAAGTTAAATAAAGCCCCTTCTAGGATTCATGTGTATTGAGACCATCTGGTAGGGGACATTAACACGTGGATTTTAGTGGTAAGATATGTGTTCCTCTAACATGATGACTTCACATGAAAATACTTGGAGATGTTTTTGGTTAATAATTCCAATTTTCTGTTTTCTCCAAAGAGTGTATATTTGGGGAATTCAATGCACTCATTGTGATAAGAAGATATCGGTTATTATTCTGAGAACATGACAGCATAAGTGTAGATTTGAGGTTCTCAAAAACACCTGATCTTCCTCACAGAGCATGGCCAACACAAGGAGTTTATGGAGAGATTGCTCCTATCTAGAGATGGCAGTTTCTTAGCAACACAATCACCTCTGAAGAGCTTGCCAAGTATTAGAAACTTTATCTGTCTTCACTCCATAAAGCTGCTGCTTGGAAGTAACTTCTTTGCTTTTACAATTTACCCTATTAAAAAAATAAAAGAAGCCAGGCGGTAGTGGTGCACGCCTTTAATCCCAGCACTCAGGAGGCAGAGCCAGGCAGATCTCTGTGAGTTCGAGGCCAGTCTGGGCTATCAAGTGAGTTCCAGGAAAGGCGCAAAGCTACACAGAAAAACCCTGTCTCGAAAAACCAAAATAAAATAAAATAAAATAAATAAACAAATAAATAAAAAATGAAAATGAGGGGTTGGAGAAATGGCTCAACAGTTAAGAGCACTGACTACTTTTCCAGAGGACTGGGTTCAATTCTCAGCACCCACAGGGAAGCTCAGAACTGTCTGTAACTTCAGTTCTACGGGGACCTGACACCCTCACACAGAAATACATACAGGCAGAAAAAAAAATCAATGCACATAAAATAAAAATAATTAAAAAGCAAATAAATAAAATAACTGATATCTCTTCAGCAAATTTTTAGGCAAGGAGAACAACTTCTCTGAGTATGAGGCTAACTACTGAATATCCATCATTATTTATTTTTTGAAGGAAGAAAACCAAAGGAGGACGCAGTGAATGTAGATCAAAATATGTTGATGCCTTCTGGCTTCTTTTCATCTAGCTGCCATTTATTCATCAGCCCCTTTCTTACCTTCGAGAGGGTCACTTAGACACCTCCATGTCACCTTCATCCCTTTGTCCTGGCCAATTCCTGCCTGCTTCTTTGAAGTACAATTTATCCTTATAAAAACTTTCACAATTTGCAATTCTGTTTTCTCTTTATCAGTTTTTTAAATCTTTTTCAACATACCACAAACAAAGTAAGAATCGCTTTTCAGATATCTTTTTGTCCCTGTGTAGAAATAGAGGCTTGTGCCCAGTATCATGCTTGGCTCAATGAGAAGTCAATGAATGACTGAAATCAAATTTAATAACCCTTTCTTTGGCCTGTTACAGTTTTACTGGCTCACAACGGCTTTGTGTGACTTATCTTCATGAGTGTGAAAAATTATATCCTAAGAATGTTTTCCTAGATACTTAAAACTTAGATGAAAATGACTGGGCATTATTATTTCTCATGGAAACATTTGGAAATGTGATAGCTTCACCAACATCACCATGAAAGTGCCAGGTTGTAGCAGCGCCTTGCTTTCTACTTCACCATCATTTACTAATTTATCAGCTTTAGGAAAGGAGAAACTGGTGAGAAAATCTGCCAAGAGTTGACGCACAAAAGGATAGCTCCGTAGCAGAGAAAATGTCAGTTTACTATACCATAGATTGTTCTTTTCAAAATATCATGAAATTGGCCTGTGATATAATCATGTTTGAAGTTCTAAGAAAAGTACACTATGTGTAGGAGAATGCATAGGGAAATGGGTTTCTCTGTGGGAGCTACATAAGGAAATGATAACACTGCGTAAGCACCACCTTTCAAAATAGCATGTATGCATATTTAAAGTAGCTTGTGTGTCCTCATTAATTTTTATTCTATTTAGAAGGGCACATGCTTACCTTTGTAAGACCAATTTCAAAGCATACTATGCATTCCTAGATTAAGTTCTGATTAAGTCGATGCATTTACAAGGATAACGGGTGAATGCTCACATGTTTAAGTCTAGTTTTCTTGACTTGCCTGAGGTGTTTTATAACATTGTACCCAGTGTTTTGCTTCTTGAAGGAGGAAACTGTATGCTATGCTTCATCACACATTCTGGAACCTTCTTTATTCACTGCCCACCCTGCTTCACATCATCCACATTTTCATCTATGCAGCATAATGAATATATGCTGCTAAATTCAAATTTCTTAAGAATCTGAACCATCATCAGTGAATTCCATATCTTCCTCAAAACAAAACAAAACAAGACAAAAACGAAAAACAGGATTTGTGTTCTGTCACTGAAGCTATGAGATGGGAGGAGGCCATGCAAACACTTCAGAAACTCTCATCAGTGTAGTAATGATAGTTCACCGTGGCAGAGGCTTTACAATATTTTCCTTCACATGAAATATAACTACTCTGAGATTATTTAGAATTGCGGGAAGTTGAAGTACGATTCACCATTTAACTTGCAGTTATAGATAGAAGCAAGAATAGAACAAACGTTGGCTGATTCCCAAGCAGACGTTCTGTTCTTAGGCTTCTCTCATCTTGGCCGGTTGCTTTAAGGAGGCACAGAGGTGGCAGGGCAGTGAGGGGCCATAAACAGGGGCTTTCACAAAGAATAGCCTTATCCTCTACCCATCGTTCATTGTGTGAATCTGTGCAGGTGACAGTGTCTGTAAGCAGAGTTTTCCCATTTATAAAATGGGATGAAGAATGAAGAATGGGCATAAAATCCTTCTAAGTAAAATGAAGTGATGGCAGATGAAATATCATGCCCAGTCCACGCGACATTGTAGGCACTCGGTAAATTGTAGCTATCAACATGCGGGTTAGTTGCAACTAACACTATTTTATAGTTAATCATTCCCAGAGCATAAATAAACTTGCAGCGCTCCAGTGTGACACAATCACATGGAGGGCAGAGCTCATCGGCCACTGGAAGAATTCTGCACTGCAAGGGCAGGCCCTAGCTGTACCCAGCTTAGAAGCTTCCAAGTCCTACTCAACCAAGGTAGTTGTGAGACTGGCAGTTGGGCCATATTTCCAATTCTATGTGGAGAGATATTTTCAGTCATGGTTAGGTATGTTCAGTGTCCAACTGATGCTCTCGTGAAGATGGGATTGCTGTTGAGAGTGGAAGTTCAGCAGCAGGGTGAGAGCAGGAGCAGCCTCGTCACCGTATTTATGCAGAAAAGGAGAGGATCGTGCCCTTGTGCAAACGAGAAGCCACCCTGAATGAGAAAATCAGTTATTTTAATGTTAATATAAGTGTTAGCATTAATAACTAGACATAAAGTTGTGTTTCCAGTCTCTACTTCAGAAGGGAGAAAAGCAATTGCACGTGTGTTTGTTAGGCTATGTTTAAGCAGTGCTTTGATATCAAATAAAGCCTTAACGTAGGTTATAAATTAAGTAACCCTTTTAAGATTATCCTCTAATTGATTGAAGAATGATAACATCATGAGCAAACTTTATGTGGACAAGATTTACTTTCCTAGTGATCACTTCTGTCGTTATAATTTTGCTCATGATGAATTCTTTAGGTCCAACTACACACATACTGATCTGTTCTGAGCTTCAGGGAGATTACTACCTGCAGGGCTTCTGGGGTAGAAAAACCTGTCATCCTGAAAGGAAACTGAGTGATCTGTAAAGCTCGATGTCTTAGCATTATTTGTGTTTTTATTTTCTATTTACTTCTGGATTTCTGAGGTAGTCTCACTATGCAGTGGAAGCAGGCCTTGAATTCATGACCTTTATCCCTCAAAGGTACTGGGATCACAGGGGTGTATCACCATATCCAGTACACTATAGTGAGGGACTTTAAAAAGGAGAGACTGCCTCAAAGACCACTTGTGTCTCTTACAGCATGAAACCCTGCATTCAGTTCTATCATCAATTCAGAAACGGCAATCCAGTGTAGCCTTTTCTCATACATGGGCCCAGAGTCCATGAGGACTGAGGACTGGGGGGAGGTAGTAAACCCTCTGAGCTCCTATTATCAATCAAATCAGTGTCAGAAAGGAATGGAGGATTTGGGAGTGAGCTCAGGGTTATAGTCCACAATGGCAGACTATGTTCTTCCAAGCCTTTCAGGACAGCACAAATCTAGTTTTGATGTTAATAAGACATCTCAAATTCAGAACCTGACCTCACTATTTCACAGAAATGAGGGGTCAGTGCATTAAAAATACCTTCTGTGAGGTGATAAAAGGAATATCCCAAATTAACTCTTTGTTTGTTCTTAAATTAAGAACACTTCCTGGTACTTAATGCTTATCATCCTAAACGTTTTTCCTTCATCCACCTGTTATTTGAAGACGCATAAATATTTTTAGTGGGCTTTAAGCCCCAAGATCTCAACTTTGCGAACATTTGAAGGACATACATTCCACATTTCCTTGGTTTAACATAGTTCAGAAACTGAAGTGCCTGTCAAGTGACAGTACAGTAGGAACAACGTTCTTCTTGCAGCCAGCTTCATCGTTCTTATAGTTTGCACAGTGGAGCTCAGAAGTCCTCACTTTACCCTGAGAGTGGGCACTTTTAAAGCTCTCCGCCCTCCACAATTAAGCTATGATGAAGTGGCCGCTTGCTGGAAGAAATGAATGGAGTAAGTGTAAAAGAATTCATCAAAATCGAGACCATATTAAACACTCAGCGCACTTCCCAGCTACATGTGTTTGTAGAAGAAATTTTAAATTTTTCTCTATTGAAGAACTCACATCGATGCTTCCTTAGTTCCAATTAGATGCCTTGGAGAACATTTAATAGTCTTAGTAAAAACAGATTAATAATGTGTTACCACCATCGTAAATCACTTATTCAGATATGGATGTGTGCAATACATACATTTACTAATATATAAACAATTTTGTAATCTACTAAAGGAACTTAAAACTCAATGTACTTAAAAAAATTCGGTTGCTATTTGGATCTGCTGCAAAAAAATTGATTTATTATAGATAATAAATGCAACAGAAAAGTACCTTTTCTTAATATGAATTTTGATAGTTAAATTTAGTGTAATTTTGTATCACAATAAGCATTGAAGAGAGTGCCATGTGAAAGCCTCTCTTATCCAAAAAAAGAAGAAGAAAATGGGAAAAAGAAACAAAAAGGAAGGCAGAAGTCAATTCTATAAAAACAAACTCTATAGAGAAAATTATAGGCGTGTCTGTTGCTTTCCATTTATTTGTTTTACAAAAGAAGCCCCACAATTTCTTTACTGATGGACAAATAAAATCAAAAAGACAAAACTAATATTAGCCATCTCCATGTTCCAAATACGATTTGTAAATCACTTAGATCAAATTTTTGATTGAAAGTAAAAAGTGCTATGCTTGACACAGTAGACCTTGTTTTTTCTAAAGAAATATAATTCACAATTAAGAATTATCAAAAACAATATTTTTCCAGTTTTAAATGCATCTAAATAAATTTAGCTGAAGTACACATCATCCTTGTGAGACATGAGATTCCAGGTTAATGATTAAGAGTTTAAGATTAACTACACTTAAACCTTTAACTCGGAACAAAATTGTAAATTTGGTCTAAAATTTCTCTTAAGAAAAGCAGAGCATAACTCATAAAAAGTTATAGGTAATAGCTCTGTGCTTTATGAGTATTTCTACATCTAACTAACATCTACATCTACTTCCCAGTAGAGATCAAATGTATTTTAAGCGGTCTTTTTCCTCTGAGATAGAAAAGATTATCCCATAGTGGTGGTTTGACATCCTCCAGCTTTGATTTTTGACTTTACTTCTCATTCATTTGTCTATGAAGACAATTTGGAGGAGTAGGGATGCAGCTCAGTTATCTCAGTTGATTGAGTGCTTGCCTAGCATGCATGAAGCCCTGGGATCAATTTCCAGTGCTGCAGAGTCCTGGCTGGGTGAGGCATGCTTGTAATTCCAGCACTCAGGAGGTGGAGGTGAAAGGATCAGCAAGGCAAGGCCATCCTTGGCTACATAATGAGTTCCCAAGACTAGGAGTAGAATACATAAGAGCCTGTGTCAAAGAATGGGGTTGTATTTATTGATTTTCAAGTGTTAAAATACCATAAATAATAGAAAAGGGTTAGGGCTATTTGAATATTGGTTTAATTAGCACCTAGAAATGCTGTTGGATTAGCTTTCCTGTTTTATTAGCTTTTGTGGAGTTATTTACACCATAATGTCAGTCTCGTAGCTTCATGAATCACTGAGTTAACATCGGAGAGTGTTGCTTTCTATGTAACAGGTTATTTAGATCCAGAAAAACAGATCATGTAGCAGTTTGCCATTTGGGGATTCTACTTCCATATAATTTGAGGTCAGTACTACAATAATGATCTTGCCTTACATCCACTAGTGACTCAGTTGTGCCATTAGAGTTGAAATGGATAAAAGGGAAAGAACAGAAGTAAAAGAAATAGAAGCATTTTCAGACAATAAAAGGGTTATAATAAAACCAGCCTGTTGTTATATGCATATCTTAATAGGCATGCATAATGAGTGACCACAGTGTGCTTGCACTTTTATTTTCTTAGAATCTCTTCAATTATCTTCCCTGCAGAGGCAAACAATTCAAGTTTGCGCTTTTCTGTAAAAAAAAAAAAAAAAAAATCCTGCAGAGATGGTTCAGTGGTTAAGAGCATTGGTTGCTCTTGCTGAGGACCCGATTAGGTTCCTAGCATCCACATGGCAGCTCACAACCTTTAATAACTCCAGTCTCAGGGGATCCAAAGCCCTCATTTTATATTTGTGGGTACCATGCATGCACAAAATGCACATATAAACATGCAAGTAAAACATTCACTCAGATAAGACAATAAAGTAAATATTTTTCTTTTTTTTTTTTTTTTTTTTGAGACATGATTTCTCTGTGTAGCTTTGGAACCTGTACTGGAACTCCCTATGTAAACTAGACTGGCCTCGAACTCACAGAGATCCGCCTGCCTCTGCCTCCCAAGTGCTGGGATGTAAAGCATGGGCCACCACCACCCAGCTTGTAAATAAATCTTTCAAAAAATAAAATTCAAAGACTACTTATGAATTTAGGGAGAATAAAATAAAACAATTTAGGAAGATTGTGAACTCTTATCAGTTAATATTTTAAGATGAAAATTATTTTAAACTTAAATCTTATATATCTAATTACAATATAATGATATAACTATTTACCATAGGTATGATATATATATCATACATATATATATATGATATATGTATATATATATAAGATTATAGATGTATATAAAATTATAATTACAACAGTTTTTCCCTAGGAGCGAAAAATCTTAGCAATAATTTCTAATGCCATCCATCCTATATTTTTAAATGATAATTTTTGAAACAGAGATTATACTTTATTATATGAAATCACAAAATTGAAAACATAAACTACTTAAAACTACATCTTTTAATGAGTATAAAATAACATATTTAGAGGTTTCATTGTTTAAAATTCCCTTTCAGCATTCATCAGTGTTTGTAAATATATTAAAAGTCTTTCAAACTAGCATAAATAAAGACTACCTAATGAAATCACTGATCAAATGTGTACAACACTTTGAGAAATGAGAAAAGAGACTTTAAGCTATTGTTTTATTGTTGACACTAATCACATATTTAATAACGTCCAGTTTTTAAGACAATAATTTACATTAAATATAAATCCACGATTAAGGGTTACTAGAGTACTGGTCTACCAAATGCCAAAAGCTGTATGTTAAAAAAAGAAAACTATAAACATCTTGAGAGGATCACAATGTGCTTTGTTATATTCGTGAAGTTTGAAATCTGACTTTTCCATCATAGAATGTTTCAAATAACATTTTCCCATAAAAAATGCACATGAAAAATCATTAACAATAGTAAGTGAACACTTGGGAATGTAAGTGTTCCCCCATCCAAAGGAAGGTAAACTGAAATACACACTAAAATTTCAAGACAAGAGTAGGGTGACATTAATATTCTGCATCTTAAGTATCTTGTCTGTCTAAATAGAAGTGTTTGCTGCTTAATTTGCTTCATTCTTATAGTTAATATTCCCTGTGCTTAAGGACTAACACAGTAACCTTTAAATTAGTGTCTATTTTATTTAAAAACAGAATCCATCAAGTAATGGGCCTGCTGAAATTATTTCATTTTCATTTCTGGTTAATCTGAAGTACTTAATTGTCAAATGCTAACTGTCAAAATAATGCACCTTAAAAAAAAATAAGAATACCTTGGGTTTCATACAT